TTTTACACTGGACGGTTAGTCCATGCTATAGTTACTCTGCATATATTAATTACATATGCACTTGGATATTCGCATATGCTTCAATAAATTTCTTACAGTACTACACTATGGAGATGTCTTTGCTTTGACTCCCCTGGGGAGTATTAATGTACAGCTACCCACCTGACCACCAGAGAGGGAGCCTCCATAACACTTTGAAAGCTGCGCCCATCTATCCCCTAAAGGGGAACTCTGGACCGTCCTGACGTTCTGCCACCAGGTTCCAGGACCACATGAGGGAGCTCACTGTATTTCGGCATTGGGGCTGCAGTTCCTCTGAGCTCCACAATATGCTGATCTCACTTCTACACAGACAGGAAGTGATGTCAGGTGCAGACAGGAAGTGATGTCAGGTGCAGACAGGAAGTTCCGGGTGAGAGGCGTGGGGAGGAAGTAGAGAGGAGACGTTGGTGGAAGTGGCAGCAGAGGAGGTAATAAGATGTTATTTCCTATTTACACCCAGTAACTCCCCCCGTCATGTCTGTCCTCTTCCTCCATAGTCATATCCGTCCTCTTCCTCCATAGTCACGTCCGTCCTCTTCCTCCATAGTCACTGTGACGTCTTTTATCTCCAGCAGATGATGATACACACATATATAGTGTGGGAACCCAGATTAACCCCTTCAGGGGCACAACATTCCCCCACTTCCGGGGCCGGAACATTCTCCTCATTGTGGAGATGGGTCACCTTCTCACCTTAGCAGTCTCTTGGTAACAAAGGCATAGTTCACCACAGCGAATCGAGCCAGTGGTGGGAGCGGGTACCTGTCAAAACCAGGTACCCGCTCCCGCTAAAAGGTGCCAAATGTGGCAGGAGAGGGAGGAAGAAGGCAGATAAGTGGAACTTCCACTTTTGGATGGAACGCTTTAAAGGGCTATATACCAGGTCAGAACCTAGAGTGTCCAAAGGGCTGGGAAGTTCCCAGAGTCAGGGCAGTACAAGAGGACAAGCAATATCCAGTGGCCCTCATGGGGGTAACACCATAAATACGGGGTATCGCTGTGTGTTATCACAGTAATTCTAGGCTCATCATTCAGGTTATCTCTGATCTGATGACCTGTAAAGGCTTTCAAAGCATTACCTATGGACCGTTTTTGGTACTGAAGTTAGTGATGGTTTAATGTGCATGTTTGGCATCCTTTACAGAAAAATTAAGTATCATATTGGGTTTGTGGGCATTAAAATTCATTTGTGTGCGTTTTTACCAAAAATGTACTAAACTAATAAACAATAAATATAATATACTAAACTAATAAACATTTTAGAAAACAATTCATGCAAAATAAACATTTGCAACTACCTCCATTTCATTCTATAGGGTCTCTGCTTTCAAAAAATATATCTCCTTGTGGGGTTAAATGCTAAAATCATCTTTGGGGAAAAATAATAAAGAAGACAGGACTGAACACACACACAGAGCAGATGATAAACACACAATGCTTGATTAAAGAAAATGACAGTCACTCATTTGGGGTCTGCAGGTAGCGTGGCAGTACCCAGTGTGGGAGAATAGCAGGGAGAGGGCTCAAAATAATTGTAATCCAGCCCCTGGGGCAAAGAAAGGGTCTTTATAACAGTTTGTAATCCAAGCAGGTAGAAGAAGGGGAAGAGAGTTCAGGGGAATAAAATGGGTGCAGACACTCACGACTCTGGCAGGGATGCCCGGGTACACAGCAGACGACAGCCAGGGGGGCGACCCTTCTCAGCACACAGCAGAGGGTCCTAACAGCAGGGACCAGTCCTGATTCTCCAGAAAGCAGTACACAAGCACTCCTGGGCCCGCAGTATGGGCAGTATAACAGCAGGTACTTGTCCTGAGTATTCGCAGCATATTCAGTGGGTAATAATCCTCCCAATCCTGTTACTAATGCAGAATGTCAGTGGGTAATAATTCTCCCAATCCTGCTCTCGTTGATGCAGAGTGCCAGCGGGTAATAATCCTCCCAATCCTGTTCTTATTGCAGCGTGTCAGCGGGTAATAATCCTCCCAATCTCGGGTCTTTGCAGAATGGCTGTGGGGGTCTCACCTCAGTGCAGACTGCCCAGAAGCTGCGCAGCGGACAGAACAACCTGGGACGCTCTGCACTGGCCTTCTTCCGGCCGGTGTAGGACGCTCCTGATCGTCCTGGGAACCGTGGGTGGCATGCCTCGTTGCCCGGAAATGAGGCACGCCCCCTTGACAGGGGCCGCACTCTCAAAGCGTGGCCTTTGTCTGTCGGTGAGGGCAGGAAACTCCCGTGCCCGTGCTGTAGTCGCCAAAGCCGTGCGGCATCAGGCTGACTGCTGCGGCCAGCCTGTAACATCCCTGCGGGAGGTTCGCCCCTCTCCGCCCGGATGGCAGGGAACTATCCTTCTCCCTCCGGCTGCTCTGTATGGGGGAAGATAGTGACAGAGAGGTGACAGGAGTCACACCTCTCATCCTGGACGACCCGGCTTCAAAGGGCCGTGACAGGATGAGAAGGGGGGAAGGTGAGCCAGGGGGAGAGTGCACAGCCTGGCACACCGTCACAACCACATTTATGTAGAAAAAAATACATGTGTTTTTTTCCCCCAAGGAACCCATAAAGCATTTTACCCGTGCCACAGTTGTAAATAATCTGAGTAGCGCCCTTGCAATCCATTGAGAACTACAAGCCATTTGCCACTGTGGCAGAAAGGACTCGTAGTTTTCTCATTCACAGAGTGCTATGAATGAATGACGTAGTAGAGGTGCAGGTGGAGCCCCACACAGCCGCACCGATTTTGAAATGTAACAGCGGGCGCCGGGAGAAAAAACCCTCTCTAGTGTTCTCCAGAATTGTTACATTGTATCTATTGTTCAAAAGACAAACATATTTCCATTGCTCATCACCTCCATCTAGTGGCTCCAATGTGGTATTTTACTGTGGACCATAATAATAATAATAAAAGAACATTTGTGTATAAGATAAAATAACTCAAGGAATGTTTCTTGTTGCCTAAATCACACAGAATGAATGTATATGCAAATGTTCTGAATGAATGATTATGCACATATTGCTTTTTTATAAATTGACCCCTAAGTAGCCCAATCTACATGTGCCAATTCTCACTGGTGGGCAGGCCACCTATAGCCCCCTTCCTAATACTGTAAAACCAATACAGTCCAAATAATTCTCTGCTATTCGTCTACAGAGAAACCCGCATAGATCACATGACCACATCAACGAGGATGGAGGAGGACCAGAATCACATGACTGAGAAGATACTGAACCTGACCCTGGAGATCATCTACCTGCTGACCGGAGAGGTGAGGAGGATTCTGGGAGGTCACATGACATCACTCTTATCTCTATTAACAAAACACAGACCTGACCAGAGAGGTGAGGAGGATTCTGGGAGGTCACATGACATCACTCTTATCTCTATTAATAAAACACAGACCTGACCGGAGAGGTGAGGAGGATTCTGGGAGATCACATGACATCACTCTTATCTCTATTAATAAAACAGACTTGACCGGAGAGGTGAGGAGGATTCTGGGATTTTAACATAATATTCGTATTGGTTCCTCAATACAGAGATTTCCTCTTCTGAAGTCAGGTGATCAGATGACCATCACAGTGCCTCCATGTGACTCCCTGACACCTGAGAGACACAACATGCAGAAGATTCTAGAAGTCACCAAGAAGATGATGGAGCTGCTGACAGGAGAGGTGAGCGGTGCCGGGAATTCTGGGACATTCTCCAGTAACAGACAAGGGATGTGTCTGGATGGTGACTGTATCATTGTGTGTGTCAGGTTCCTATAAGGTGTCAGGGTGTCACTGTCTATTTCTCCATGGAGGAGTGGGAGTATTTAGAAGGACACAAGGATCTCTACAAGGACGTCATGATGGACAATCAGCCGCCCCTCACATCACCGGGTAAGAGGAGACTTTATTGTAAAGGAGAGAGCAGTACGGAGGATCCACCTAGATCCCCCATCATCTGATAAACACATAGAAACAATGGATTCAGTCAGTGTGTGTGTTTCCTACAGATGGATCCAGTCATGGGAACCCACCAGAGAGATGTCCCCGTCCTCTGTATTCCCAGAATTTCACACAGGTCAATGTTAAAGAAGAGATAATAGAGGAGGATAATGAGGATGGGTTGATGGAGGAGTTTTCAAAAAACACAAAGATCTGTACCAGGACACCATGTTGGAGTCATCCATCTATAGAAACCCACCAGAGAGATGTCCCCGTCTCTGTGTTCCCGGGATTCCACACCGGAAGATCACACCATCCCTCACCAGTACAAGGTTGGTGGGAAGGAACAACTAGAACATGGACTTGTGAAGACAATGTGTGGATTTTTTAATGTAATGTCACAATATAATAGCTTATATTTTTAAGATGATATTTTCTCTCATTTTCTCGGTTTAGGATGAAGATCTGATAGATATAAAAGTTGAGGTTAAAGTAGAAGAAGAAGAGACGGATGATCAGCAGTCTATAGATGAGGATGGAATAACGGGGACATTTATAGAGGAGGGACACTCCTACAGAGATCAGCACAGGTGGGTCATGAACACTAAATCCATTCCTCCACCCATACTGCTCACTGATTGGTCCAGAGTAGGGCGGGGTCTGGGTGATATCACCTGGTATTCATGACTAAATCATGGACTAAATAAGGAAGTGCAGTACTTCTTGTGTTGGGAAGATGGCGATGAGTGATTGAGGGGGTGGGGACCCTCGTCCTATAATCCCCTCATCACTGTCCCTCCTATAAAAGACAGTTCTGGTTGTTTCCTCACTCTCTGACTAAGGTCCATGAATAAAGAAATGACCTGGTAGGAGATCAGAGGAGCCATTTCCTAGTTCCCTTGAGGGTGGAATTGTAAGCTCCTCAGAGACCAAGCTGCCTGATGTGGGCGGAGTCCTGGTTTGGGGGAACCAATCAGCTCCTGTCTAGTAATCCTCTTTGTCTTTGTATTTTAGTCCATGGCCGGGAGATGAGGAAAACCTCCGAGGATTGTCTCACTTTGTCTCCAGACTGGAAAGTAGAAGATGAGGACATCACACAGTATAGTCCAGGAGAAAATCCGACTCCCTCCAATGTCCATCCAGCACCACCCAGTGTAGATGGTCCATCAGATTCCTCGTATCCTGAGGAACCTCAGACTGTGCGGGACCGGGCCGGCCTTCCCACAGGGAAGAACTTCTCCTGTAATGAGTGCGGGAAGAGTGTCCAGTTTAAATCCAATCTTATTGTGCATGAAGAGTCCCACACAGAGGAGAAGCCACAATTCTGCCCTGAATGCGGGAAATGTTTTTCAAAGAAGTCCCATCTGTCCACAGAACAGAGATCTCACACGGGAGAGAAGCTACATTCCTGTCTTGAGTGCGGGAAATGTTTCTCAAACAAATCCTATTTTTCCGTACATCAGAGATCACACAAGGGGGAGAATTTGTTTTCCTGTTCTGAGTGTGGGAAATGCTTTGTGCTAAAATCCAAACTTGTCCTACATCAAAGGTCTCACACAGGAGAGAAGCCGTTTTCCTGTACTGAGTGTGGGCAGTTATTTTCACATAAGGCCAATCTCGTTTCACATCAGAGACTGCACACACATGAGAAACCGTATTCTTGTCCTGAGTGTGGGAAATGTTTTTCAAGAAAGTCCAATCTTTCCATACATCAGAGGTCTCACACGGGGGAAAAGCCGTATTCCTGTCCTGAGTGTGGGAAATGTTTTCACGGAAGTCCAATCTTTCCACACATCGGAGAGTGCACACAGGAGACAAGCCATATTCCTGTTCTGAGTGCGGGAAATGTTTTTCACAGAAGTCCATTCTATATAGACATCAGAGATTGCACATGGGGGAGAAGCCACTTGTCCTGGGTGAGGGAAATGTTCCTCACTGAAGTCCTGTCTTCCTGTACATCGAGGTCCCACACAACCCTGGAGGTGTATTAGTGCCTTGAGTGCGGGAAATGTTTTCTAGATGAATGTTGCTGGACATCCCAGCTCTCATGTGGGGAAGAAGCACACCCTGATATACACCTCAGATATACTCCATGGATGATCTTTATCATGGAAGGAACAGTTCATAAGGAGATCAGAGGTCACCAAAGACACGGGTTGGCCATTGATAGCAGGAGAAGAATAAAAATGGAGTCATCACCTTTCATTGGCTGAGTACATTTTGTGGTGGAAGATTTCACAAACACTTAGAGGTCTATATATTTTTTTTTTAATTTGTTGATTGAATGTAACCAGCATGCGCCCAGCTGTGATAAATATTGGTCAAATTTTATTTCATCATACACCAATTATCTTGGTGCCATCTAACGACCTAATGAAGTATTGTGCTAGTTTTACTGACTGACGTGTTTCAGGAAATATACCCCATTATGGCCACTAGATGGAGCTCACAATCATAGGAAACCACTGTGTTAGTTACATTTTGACCAGAATTTATCACAACTTTTCAAATAATTGTCACACTCGACCACCTAAATTCATCTAAATTAATTATTATACAGTATTTATAAAGCGCCAACAGTTCGCTCAGCGCTGTACATTGTAAAGGGAGACAGAACATGTGACAGAACAATACCAACACAATGTGATACACCACTTAGTTTACTATGTCAGATATAGTTTTATACAAATAACTGAGATCATACTCATGTACTTATAAGTTCAAAGATGATCTGGATGTTTTCCACTCAGCACTAAATCCAAACTAAACCCTCACAATGAAAAATGAATTTAAAAACATATGCTACAGGCACATGCGAGCTGCCAAACATGGCGGACGTGTGACGGCTCGGCTCTGCCATGATCTGGCCGAATTCAGCAGCATCCAGAACAGCTGGGGGACCCAGATGCTCCACGACCCCTCCATCCACCTCTTGCATGGGCCACCTACTTCATGCCCAAAGGCAAGCAGAAAAAGCGGCGCTGCCAGAATCAACAACATAGCAGCCACGGCCCTGCACACTACTTCCTCCCTGGTCGTGTCAACTTCATTGGGCTGGTCTTGAGGACTTGATCTGGGTGAGTGCAGCCTCACTCCCGACGCCCCCCAGACACCTTTCCTAAGGGAATCCCAGGGAGCTGACTCTCCATTCTCAGTGATGAACAGGGCAATGGGGGAGATCCTAACCATCCAGGGCAGCTTGCAGACCTCACCTGGGCCTTCCACGTTACACTCAGTGTCCCACCTGCCGAATACGGTGGCCCAATCATTTTTGGCCCGCTTCTCTGCCTTACTGGAACAAGGGCTAGAAAGCCAGTAATAAGATTACAGCGGACTTAAAGCAAGAATTTAGAGATCTGGGAGATCGTATTAATACTGTTGAGTCAAAATTGGATACGACTGTCCACAGAACGAATCAGAACACAGATCGCATTAGTGGCCTTCAAATACAACTTGAAGAAGCTCTGGAAAAGATAGATGATCTAGAGCACAGGTGTCAAACTGGTGGCCCTCCAGCTGTTGCCAAACTACAAGTCCCATGAGGCATTGCAAGACTGGCAGTTACAAGCATGACTCCCAAAGGCAGAGGCATGATGGGACTTGTAGTTTCGCAACAGCTGGAGAGCCAAAAGTTTGACAGCGCTGATCTAGAGAATAGATTGTGCCACTACAATTTCCATATAAGGGGGCTCCCTGAGTCAGTGATGGATGTCCAGAGTGCCACTACTGACCTTTTGACCTCCCACCTACCAGACTTGCCCAATGATGAGCTTGAATTGGACAGAGTTCTCACCGCCCTGCACCACGATGGCCCGCCTAGGGACATTATTGTGAAATCTCATTATTAATGTGTGAAAGAACAAGTGATGCAGAAGGCCCGAGACCTCCCTTTGATTCAATTACTAGGCCAGGACATCCAACTTTTTGTGGACATTTCCCCAGCAACGGTGCAGAAATGGCGCTCCTTTAAAAACCTCTGCTGCTCCTACTTCAAAATAAGGCGATCAAATATCGCTGGTCATTTCCATTTTGCCTAACGTTTTCATACCAGGGAAAATCTTACTCCTTCGACACAATGACAGTGAGGCTCTGCCCAAATGCTTGGGACTTATCTCAACGTCTCTTCCGGCCTTCCACCACTCTCAATCTTCAGTATCCTCCGACAGGGGCCGACCAGAGTCGAATCGTCCTGTGTCTCCACTCAGGCAACCAGGAAAAAACACACGAGAAGCCAGACCCACCAACAATCCAGACCACCATGAACGCTCCCACTGGACTTTCCTGGCCCTCACCATTGTGATGGAAGTCACCCTCTTTCCCATTTTACTGGGTCTCTCAAACAGTTTACCTATATTGGCTATATAACAAGCAAAATAGGTGAGTTGGAAGCTTTGGTGCGTGAAAAGAACTATAATTTAATTGGTATTGCTGAATCTTGGCTTCATTCTCCACATGACTGGGCCATTCATATTCCTGGCTTTGTTCTCTTTTGGAGAGACAGGGTAAAAAGGAAAGGTGGTGGTGTCTGTCTCTATGTGAGAAGTGATCTCAGAGCGGTGTGAAAGAGGACCTAGTTGATGGAGAGTGTGATCAGGCTGAAGTATTATGGGTGGAACTGCACATGGGGGTGCGTACTACAAAGGTAATCATTGGAGTTTGTTATAGGCCTCCCAGTGTTAATGAGGAGGTGGAAATTCAGCTCTTTGCACAGATCAAAAGGTCTGCAAGGGCTGGGACAGTGATAATGGGGATTTTAACTACCCAGAAATTGACTGGAGTAATGGTGCTGCAGGAACAGTTAAAGGGCAAAAATGTATAAACCTACTACAGGACAATTTTATGGTACAGTTCATAGAGGCCTCAACTAGGAATGATGCTCTGCTGGACCTGGTAATCTCAAATGATGCAGAGCCTATTACAAATGTTCACATAAAAGTACATCTGGGTAGCAGGGTCTATAACATGATTTCATTTATTGTTAGCTGTAGACAGCAAGCACATACTGGAAAAATAATGCTCAACTTTAAGAGAACTAATTTTCCAAGGTTGAGAGCTGCTCTCCAAGACTTAGACTGGGAAGGAATATTGGCATCAATGAACATAACATGTCATCATGTCCAACAACGCCACCATCAAACCCGCCCCGCAGGCCAGAGTACTTGGTGTCATTCTGGATTCCAACCTATCCTTCCAGCCCCAATTCCAATCTTTAACAAACTCGTGCAGACTCCACCTCCGCAACATCGCCAAAATACGCACGTTCCTAACTCCAGAAACCACTAAACAGCTCATCCACTCCCTCATCATATCACGACTCGACTACTGCAACTCCCTCCTCACTGGCCTGCCTCGCCGCTGGCTATCCCCGCTTCAGTCTATCCTGAATATGGCTGCCAGACTCATTCACCTTTCCAACTGCTCCATCTCCGCCACCCCCCCTCTGCCAATCCCTCCACTGGCTTCCGATTGCGCAACGGATCAAAATCCTAACACTGACGTCCACCATACTGCTCCGAACTACATCACCGACCTAATATCCAAGTAGCACCCAGCACGCACACTCCGCTCCTCACAAGACCTCCTTCTCTCTAGTTCCCTGGTCTCCTCCTCCCATGCCCGCCTCCAGGACTTCTCCAGGGTGTCACCCATCCTCTGGAACTCCCTGCCCCAACCCATCAGATTATCACCTACTCTCCTCTCCTTTAGGTGCACCCTGAAAACCCATCTCTTCAGGGAAGCCTACCCCACCCCCTGCTAACTTGCTGACCTCCTCCACTGTTCCTACCACTCCATCCCCCACAGCTATCTCCTCTTGTACCACCATCCCCTCCCTCCTTGATTGTAAGCTCAAAAGAGCAGGGCCCTCGATCCCTTCATGTTTTGCATTGTATTGGTATTGTTCTGTCACATGTTCTGTCCCCTTTTGTAATGTACAGCGCTGAGCGAACTATTGGCGCTTTATAAATACTGTATAATAATAATAATAATAACACAGAAATGGGAGTTCTTAAAGAAGACTGTATGTGACCACACTGCAAAAATATATTCCCATGGGCAACAAATTAAAAAGGCTAAAAATGAAACCTATGTAGCTTACGGCCAAAGTTACAAAAGCTATAAATAATAAGAAAAGAGCTTTCATTAAATATAAAAATGAAGAAACACTACTATTGTTTAAACATCACAAAGAGGAGAGTGCATGTGTGGGCGGCCGGAGCTAATGCAGTCTTAACCTTCCCTGCACCTTAGAGGGGAAAAAACAGCTGATCCTGACCTTGTTTCCTCTGGATACCCGCCTGGTCAGCTTGCGGAATGGGTGGGGAACCTCCGATACCCACATGACCGGCTGGACGATCGGCGGGTGGCTCCCACTCTGCCCTGCTGAAGAAGGGAGGAGGTGGCAAGACTGCGGCCAGTGCCGTATCCTGGAGCTCCTCACTTGCAGAGGGGACACTTCTACCACAGCAGGCCCAGCTCTCCTGCTCTAGCCCAGGGACGCACAATGATGGCTCTCCAGGATCCCAGACTCATGTGAGTGCGTGCTCTGCTCCCTCTGGCTCTGTCTCCAGTCCTGTCCGGTCCCCCCCACATGCTGCGACCTTGTCACCAGGTCAGGAATCACAGGCTTCCTCCCTCCTTGATAGGGAAATGGCGGAAATGTTCCATAGCCAGCTCAGTGGCCAGGAATCTATTCCTGATGATCCAGTGCCTTCTCCAGGTGGGCCTCAGTCCTACTCCAGGGACTCTGTTCTTATTGCTTGTTTTGCAGATTTACTTCAGAGGGAATTGGAAAAAGCTACCACTAAACTGGCCTCTGACCTGAAGCAGGAGTTTTGGGAGATTGGAAGCCGTTTGGAGAACATTGAAAAGAAAGTTGATGACACAGCTTACAGAGTGTTGCACAATTCTAACTGGATAACAGACTTACAGGATCGCCTTGAGGAATCTTATACAAAAATAGGCGACTTTGAAAATTGTGCCCGCCGGTACAATTTCCGCATTAGAGCCCTACCTGAAAC